CCTAACCTAAATGATTGTATGTAATGTTTGTATATCCTGTTTTGTCCTGAATGTGAATATGTTTTGAAAAGTCTTTTTGCATACAGACTGTCACAGCTCATTGGACATCTTTTAATTACTATTTTGGCTTCCACCAGCCCCTGTACTCTGTATTACTGTCTTACTGTTAAGCAAGCCTTCGGTAATCTCGGATTACTAGCCGGTTACGGTGCTAAACCCATAGGGGCGGGTTTGGGTCGTGACAAAATCTCTTTGGGGTATTTCTAGACTACTATCAACTAACCGTATAATCTGTGCTATGAACTTAAATGCCATGATCCTTTCCTCAATTTTTTTTATTTATTTTTTATTTTTATATAAACATTGTTGTGTATTGAACTGGGAGAAAGGAATGTGGTATGTGTGCATTTACTGGGCATTCAAAGCTGACGGCGTATCATGTCAGGTGTCGAAGAGGAGCTCGCAGCAGAAGGCAATGAACCAAAAACCTTCGAGGACATTTGGCTATCCTCAAAAAGTTAGGAATTTCTTTTGTTGTTTTGTAAAGTCCATATGAAATTTTAAATTTTCTTTTGGGATGTAATGTTGATGGAACGAGCTTTTGTAATTAAGGATATTTGTAATTATTCTGTTATTATGTACTTATTCCAACATCAATATAATTCCCTATGTTGCTTATGAGACCTTGTGTCAATACCTCTTAAAATCTGTCAAAAGGGTAGTGTGCTACCTAAGAAAGCTGGACTTAGAAGGGAGGCTAATTTGGCTCCTCCAGCGATTTGAAATCTTACTTGATTATTGGCCATAGGACTCATTAGTGACTTTCCCTTGACTACAACCTTAGTGTAGATTTGGGGTGCCACAGTGTACACCTCACATGTAGCCCCATAAAGATAGTGGCACCAAATCTTCAGAGAAAACACAACAGCGGCCAATTCCAAATCATGAGTCGGGTAGTTCTTTTCATGAGGCTTCAATTGTCAAGATTCATAAGCTATCACTTTACTGTTCTACATCAAAACACAACCCAAATCCTTATACGAGGCATCACTATAAATAACAAATCCTTCTGTACCTAATGGTAAAGTCAAAACTAGTGCTATCGTTAGCCTTGTTTCTAGTTCTTGGAAAGCGGAATCTCTTTCATCAGTCCATTCGAACGGTTCTCCCTTTCGAGTAAGTTGGGTAAGTGGTACAACTATCTTTGAGAAGTCTTTTACAAATCTTCTATAATACCTAGCTAATCTCATGAAACTTTGGACTTCCTTCACATTTGTCGGTGTAGGCTAATTCACAATCACTTCAATCTTTTGCAGGTCTACTGAAATCCAATTCCTGTTAATCACATGCCCTTGAAACTTAATTTTCAGAAAATTAAATCCAAAAAATTAAAACCAAACCCGCTTCACAATTACAAATCAATTATAAACCCATCATCACCAAACCCACCACCTCTTACAAAATATCCACCCAACTTTTTTATTTTTATTTATTTTTAAACTAACAGTCAATTCCAACAATCAAGATAAACAATCAAAATTGAAAAGGAGTTTACATTTGTTGTAGATTCATCGCAACCCTTCCCTCCCTTCATCGCATCCAACCCCTCTTTTTCTCTCATCTCCTCTCTCCGTTCCATCTCCCCTTTCTCTACACCTTCGCAACCATCTTCCTCCTCCCCTAGTGCTGCCTTGTAACTTGCCTTCTCCTTCCTTCCCCTTCTCTTTGTGCAAATATGGTTATTATTAACTCACTCAGTTATTGACTCACCTACTCCAATGAAATTATAGGTAAATTTACATTGTTGACCTTACAAACATGGCACATGCTATGCACATGAGCCACTTTTGTCAAAAAAATAAATTGACATTATCGATTGGATTGAAATGAAACAAAATTTAGGTCTCATTTGGAAAGTTGGCTATTTTAATAGGCTATTTTAGTTTTTGACTATTTTAGTAGTCTAAAATATTTGTATTTGGGAAGAGAGTTGGATTTTTTTGTAATTAGATGTGATACTTGTGAGAGAAAAGTGAAATGATTATAGGTTTGATATGGTATTTTGTCTTATCAGCTATTTTAGTTTATTTTTGTTTTTTTGTGAATTTTAGCCCCCAAAAAAGCCAAATTTTGGCTTCCCAATCAAGTCATTTGAAACTGCATGAATCAAAATGACACAGAAAGAAAAATATAGGGACTATTGATGTAATTTTCCCTTTTATTTTCTATTCTATTAGTTTATTGTTTTATAAGAATTAGGATTATTATAAATAAAGATATAAGCCTTAGGGTAATAAAAAGACTTTTTTTATGATTAATGAAATTGTGAGCTTATATATTGTTTTGTTCCAGCCGTGGGTATTTTTTTTTTTTTTTAGGTAATAAAATCAACAATTGTTGATGTTTTATTTTCAACATTAATTATGAACCAATGAGTTTAAAATAGATCTTACTTCTCGTATTCATTATTGAATGAACGAACTATAAGATTATTGTCATTTCACGTTTCCTACTACTTCTTCCGTCTCAAAATATTAGTCTCTTTTCAAAAATTAAGGAATAAAATAATATGAATTCATTATTTTTTTCTTTTTTAGAATTAATTAATAGCACAAAAAGTGCAATTATGATAATTCATATTCTCAAAAAAAAAATGTATTATCAAAGGATAATTTTGAAAAATTAATATTTTAAAAATATAATAATTGTACTATAAAAAAATTAGATTTCTTAAAAGAAATCATTATTTTGGGACGAATAGAATATATTAGTAAGGTGCAAGTGTTATCCGTGGGGATTGACACATATGTCGCTTGCACTGGCCACAATTGTTAGTGATAAATATAAATGTGATTTAAAGCTTTGAGTTATCAATAGGAGACATATGATATTGACCTCAAGTAAGTTCAATTATTCTTTATTTAAGGTTAAATTATAGTAATTTTTTTTAAACTATGATTCATTTGAATTTTGTTTTTCTAAAACTTAAATATTTAATAGTTAATTATTTTAAAATATTTTTTGTTAGAATTAACCCCTTTTGTTAAGATTTTGTCAGGGATTTATATAAAATCACATCATATGTAAGGCACATGACACATTTATCACTACAAGAAAAGAGGGTATATAACACGGAATCATTTGCGACAGTACCTATTACCGTCGCAAAAAGCGATTTTTTGCAATGATGCCACTTACCGTCTCTAATAAATGGTTTTTGAGCGACGACACCACTTCCTGTCACAAAAAAAGTAACTTTTTGCGACGATAATAGGTGTAGTCGCAAATAATGTGCATTTTTTGCGACAGTAACCGCTGCTGTCACAAATAAAGTTGCTTTTGGGATAGCATGAAATGCAGTTGCAAATAAGAGAGTTCTTTGCAATGGTAATAGGTGCCGTCACCAAAAAAAAAAAAAAAAAAAGTGTTATTGTTTTGATATAACATTCTCTTTTCACCCATTTTTTCATCTTTCTGTTTCTCTATCTCTCTCTCTCACTCATCTCTCTTCTCTTTTTCTTTCTCTATCACCCTTTGTCTGTCTGTGTCTTTCTCTTTCTCTCTCCCCCTCTCTCTCTCTCATACTATGTTCGCGTTGCTCACTCTCTCCCTCCACTCTTCTCGATTTACCGATCTCCCTCTCGATTTATCGATCTCTTTTTTTCTTCTCTCTCTCTCTCTCTCTCTCCTCTTTTAATCGCTCATCTCTCATTTCTATTAATCACTTGTCGAAAAAGGAAAAAGTTAAAAAATGAAATGGGCCTGTGTGTGTGTGCGCTCGTATCTCGCTCATCTCTCTCTCTCTCTCTCTCTCTATCTCTCATCTGTCTCTCTCTTTCACTCATCACCCCACTCTCTAGTTCTCTCATCGGTCTTCACTCTCTATCTCTCTCACTCATCTGTCTTCTCTCTCTCTCTCTCTATGTCTCTCTATATCTCTTGTTCATCTCTTTTTGCTCTCTCTCTCTCTCTCTCTGTGTTACTCACCTTGTTTATCTCTTTTTTTTCTCTCTCTCTATCTCTTTCTCTCTCTGTGTCTCTCTCTCTCTCTCTCTCTCTCTCTCTCACTCATCTCTCTTTTTTCTTAATCACTCATTTCTCTCTATCACACTCATCTCGTTCTCTTAGCCCGTTGTTGTTGAAAGAGGAAAAAGTCAAAAAATGAAATGGGTCTCTCTCTCTCTCTCTTACTTCTCTCTCTCTCTCACTCATCTATCTTCTATGCCTCTATCATCTCTCTTTGTTTCTCTTACTCATCTCTCTTCTCTCTCTTTTTATGTCTCTCTCTATATATCTCTTGTTCGTCTCTTTTCCCTCTTTCTCTCTCGCTGATCATCTTTTGTTTCTCTCTCTTTTTCTCTTTCAGTTTACATTTACAAAAATTTAAAAAACTGTCATAAAAACTTGTTTGATAATTTTTTTGGTTTATAAATGGTTGTCTCAGTTTGTAAATTTGAGGAGAAAACATAAACTCAAAAAATGAGTTTACGTTTGTTTTAAAACAGAAATTTAGAAATTTGACTGAAATTTTTTTTTTCAATTAACTTTTTTTTTTCCAAATAATTTTTTTTCAAGTAAATTTTTTTTTCAAATACTTTTTTTTTTCAATTAAATTTTTTTCAATTAATTTTATTTTCAAATAATTTTTTTCGAATTAATTTTTTTTCAATTAGAATGTGTATGATCCCATTGTCATAAATAATAAAAAAATAAATAGAAATATTTTAGGTCTGAATAAACATATTTTTTACTTTATGTTTTTAAAATTTTCGAACATTTTGTTCAAATCAAACGTATTTGTTATTTATATTTTTCTAAAAATAAACAAAAACAAATTTATAAAAATTTTGTAAAAAGACATAAACGTTACCAAATGATATCTTAAATTTTCATTTGCGACGGTGAATTTGACATCGAAAAAAATAAAAAAGAAAAAACCCAAAATCTGATTAACGCTCATTTTTCTCCCTCAACCAAAAATCTCCAATCTCAAATCCCTAATCTTTTGAACCAAACCATATCTTCTTATGACCCTCTCTCTCTCTCTCTCACTCTCTCTCTCTCGACTGTGAGCAGCGACAGACGACGGTGTCGAGCGATGGCAGCGACAACGTGAGACTGGATCGAGCAACGGCAGACGACGGCGTCAAGCGATCATCACCACCTCCCAGTAAGTCTCACACCTCTCTCTCCTATTCTGTTTTATCTTAGAGCCCTGATTTTTACCCTCTAGGTGTCACTCTCCCTCAAGAGATTCTACACTTCCTGCCATCGACTTAACCGCCTTTGTCTCCACCGTCATCTCCAACTTAAACAACCTATTTGATAACGCCCAACCCCCTATTACGATGACAAAACCCTAGATGTATTCAAGCTCGATTATAAACTGGTATGCATGTAGTTCATGATCGCCTAATTGAGGAGGAGGAGAAGAAGAACAAAGACGTGATTCAATTGGAGCAGGAGTCTGTAATTCCAATTCTAAAGCCGAAACTCATCATGACGTAGGCCAATCTCATTAGTATGATATTTCCTTCTCTTCTTATTATTTGCATATTCCCTTTTGTTTTGCCTTAATCATTTTCTAAAATCCCAATTTCCAATCATTCCCTAAACCCCCTTTCTCTCCGCAAATTCATCATTCAAACACAATATTATCAAAGTTTTTACATCTTACTTACTGCTAATGCTACACTCTAATCTGATTTTTCCTTGGTATTGAACCCACACTAAATTTCTCATGAACTGAAATGGGCAGTAAGTACTAACGAGATAGTTTTTGTTTTTCTAACGAATTTTGGGTTTGACATTGATTTCACATCATTTTGTTTTTTGGCAACCTGCAACTTGATGCGGGCATAAAAGCATTTCTATTCTTTCTTTCCCTCTAATAATAAAAAAAAAGAAAAAAAAGAAAAAAAAGAAAAGAAAAGATCATGAATAAAATGGAAAAATGGCAGAGTTCCCAATTGTGATTTCTGACCAAGGTCTGAAAGAACCTAAATGCTTTGTCTTTGGCTTTTGATTCCCCCAGAACACAGTTCTAACCGGGCTAAGTTTCTAAAGCTTTGCAGGAGAGTTAAATACACAATTCATGCTTGGTATCTTCTGCAATTTGAGGATCTGATGGTATTATCATCTCTCACTTGTGTATCAAAATGAAGACATTCCAACACCTCCTCAGGCATTTATAGTCTGATGATGTTATTATTTTTTGTTTCACATTTCCATTCAATACCTATTTTGCTTGCAGCAATTGTTCTCCCTCTTTGATCCTGTCCATGGGACTGAGAAATTGGAGAAGCAGAACCTAACTCCAGATAAAATTGACATTCTTGAGCAGAATTTCCTGACATACTTATTTCAGGTATCATGGCTTCTGCAACTCAATTAACAGGTTTGATGTCCTGAAATTTCCATTGGGGATCCTCTACAGTCTACATACATGTGTACATTGTTTGTTTAAAATTTGGTCCTTGAATATATTTATGCACAACTACAATTATTCCACTTTAATGGAGCCCTGAAACCTGAGGCTTTGTGCCTGTTTGGTGCAGCTTAAAAGCTGCTTATTTTAGCTTTCAGCTTAATTTAAGTTATTTTGATGTGTTTGGTTTAGCTTAACAATGCAGGTTATAACTTTTTGTAAGTCAGAAATCAGCTTATTCTTTGAGTGGGGCAGGAGATGCTTAATTTATAAGTCAGAAATCGGCTTATATTCATAATTATAAGCTATAAGCTGTTAAGACATAAGCTATAAGCACTTTCCCACAGCTCTACCAAACAGGGCCTTTGTTGAAGATCAGTTAGATGGAATTACAAACGAAATCATTCAAATATTTTCTTTAGCTGATTAGAAAATAAATTCTTCAACTTTTCAATCACTAATCAACTTGTACCCCATCAGTGTATTATTGTATGTGAAGGACCACCTTTTGAGGAGTCTATAGCCCTATTAAGTAGCAAAAATTTCCTTCAATTGTATCTTTCATTCTGTTCTCTCTCTCTCTCTCTCTCTCTCTCTCTCTCCCCACCCCTAGTAAGAAAAATAATACATAACAATGTTAGACTCAGGAATAGGTTCATCTTTCTAGGTGCTTTTCCAGTCCATTGGATGTTTTCCTTGATTAAATTTTGTGTACTCATTACATTATGGAGAATATATTAAAAAGGTAATTTTGTAAATGTTTTTGTAGTGTTACAGGTGAATTAGGATATATAATTTGCTGTTTTTTGTAGTGTTACAAGTTCTTTTTTTTTTTTTTTTTGAAACATCAACGATATATTTTATTAAGAAAAGCAATAGAAAAGAGAGGATATATGTAGTGTTACAAGTTAATTAGGATATATAATTTGATTAGTGTTTCTAACGACCAAGAGATATCTTTTAATTTCCTGTTAACAAAAAAACTAGAGATAATTTAACCATCTTAATTATCTTAGAATATGATTCACTCAAAAAATAAATAAATAAATAAATTAGAATACGAGGTTATTTTATTTTCCAATTAAAACTTCGGAATCTCAACTGTTGAATGATGTTACACATACTTTGACAATATCACTCAACAAGCTTATGATGATGGCTTGTATTTGATTTTAATAAATTTGACATTAGTCACACGGTTGTTGTGATAGAATGGCAGAGCAGATGTGTGTTGGCATCATTGCTGATCTCTAATAAAAGTGTCTGTTTTGTATTGAGAATAAATGGTAAGTTTGTCATGTCTTTTGCTTTTTTTTTTTTTTTGTAGTATGTAATATTCCGCCGTGGCATTGGAATTGATCTAACAACTAAAGCCCTTACTTTTTTACTATTGTTATCTGCGATTTGTCTGTGCTGAGAGGAAATTTTCAAATTTAGGGTTTTCAAGTAAAGGACATGAATTTTTTGTGTGATTAAGTTAAAAAATCGAAAACCCATCTTCATGCAGTCCCATTTCATTTGAGTAAAGGCTTGATTTTTTTTTAGGTGTAATTTATTAGATTATGTATTTTGAAGACCATATAAGCCTTGATTGTTTGTGTTATTTGATGTTTTGTGGTTGAATGAGTTACAATAAAGAGTTGCAAAAAAAAAATGAAGTCTTAAATCTGAGATTCGTGCTGGATTTACGATAGAAAATTGCTTTAAAATACATTTATTTTCATAATAGAATAATTTATTGTGGGATCTTAATCCAATTGTTAATTGGTGGGTTTGCAGAGATACATGCAGCAATACAATAAGGTGGAGCTTTCAGCTATTGGAATGGGTATCTCTTACTTTTATAGTTCAATAACATTAAAATACTTGTCAATTTCTATTTTTTTTAGGTAGGGCTTAATTTATGTTATATAACTCAATATTTATGTTAGTATGTACCAAGAATAGCTTCATTTCTTTTATGATGCACAATAGCAATTCATATTCTTTATATCAGATTGGTTATAAGTACCCATCATAGCATCACTTCTTTTTGTTTAATAAATACACAATTTTCTTTTGGTTAACTTGCTTCATTATATTTTTGCCACTCCAAGTTTATAGAGAGAATTGGTGCCCTTGATTGTTTGAGCGAATCATGATGTCATTGTTTTATATGAAGCGATATTTATCAATGGGAAAGCATGGTGTTAACAGGTAAACAAACTTTTCACCTCGATCAATTTAAAATTTTCTAGTGGAGCCAACAAATAGGGTCACTCCTTACCATAGTTTTTGAAGGAGGTCACCTATGCAGCTACCCTTCAATTGAAAATTGCACAAACTTGGCACACACGACCGCCTAGGCACAGGAGACTTGTGGGAGAAGACGGGACTCGAATCGGGTTCTCGGTTTGGGAGTTAAAGCCAGATTTCGGTTTAGGCAAATTAGTTCCTTAAGAAACTTAGAATTCGAGGTGTTGTCGCCCCAAAATCACCAAATGGTGTCGGATTAGCACGAAACTTAGCACACATGACTGCCTTGGCATGAGAGACTTGTGGGAGAAGACGAGATTTGAATCGGGTTCCTAGTTTAGGAGTTAGAACCGGATTTCGGTCTAGGCAAATTAGTTCCTTAAGAAACTTTGAATTCGAGGTGTTAACGCCTCAAATCACCAAACGGTGTCAGATTAGTATGAAACTTGGCACACACGATCGCCTTGGCATGAGAGACTTGTGGAAGAAGACGAGACTCGAATCGGGTTCCCAATTTGGGAGTTAGAGCAGGTTTCGGTCTAGTTTCTTAAGAAACTTAGAATTTGAGGTGCCGACACTCCAAAATCACCAAAATGTGTCAGATTAGCACGAAACATGGTTGCACACAACAGCCTTGGCACGAGAGACTTATGAGAGAAGACCAGACTCAAATCGGGCTTCTTGGTTTGGAAGTTAAAGCCGGATTTTAGTCCAGGCAAACTAGTTCCTTAAGAAACTTAGAATTCGAGGTGTTAATGCTCCAAAATCACCAAACGGCGTCAGATTAGCACTCGGATTAGCACGAAACTTAGCACACATGACTACTTTGGCACGAGAGACTTGTGGGAGAAAACGAGACTCGAATTGGGTTCCTAATTTTGAAGTTAGAGCATGATTTCGGTCTAGGCAAACTAGTTCCTTAAGAAACTTAGTGTTCAAGGTGTTGATGCCCCAAAATCACCAAACGGCATTGGATTAGCACGAAACTTGGCACACACGACTGCCTTAGCACGAGAGACTTGTGGTAGAAGACAGCACTCGAATCGGGTTCCCGGTTTGGGAGTTAGAGCCGGATTTCGGTCTAGGCAAACTAGTTCCTTAAGAAACTTAGAATTCGAGGTGTCGACGCCCCAAAATCACAAAACAGCATCGGATTAGCACAAAACTTGGCACACATGACCGCCTGGGCACGAGAGACTTGTGGGAGAAGATGGGACTCAAATCAATTTCTTGGTTTGGGAGTTAGAGCCAGATTTCGATCTAGACAAACTAATTCTGTAAGAAATTTAGAATTCAAGGTGTTGATGCCCTAAAATCACCCAACAACATTGGATTAGCACGAAACTTGGCACACATGACTGCCTAGGCACGAGAGACTTGTGGGAGAAGACGGGACTCGAATCGGGTTCCCGGTTTGGGAGTTAGAGCCGGATGTCGGTCTAGGTAAACTAGTTCTTTAAGAAACTTAGAATTCGAGGTATTGACGCCCCAAAATCGCCAAACGGTGTCGGATTAGCACGAAACCTAGCACACGCGACCGCCTTGGCACGAGAGTCTTGTGGGAGAAAATAGAACTCGAATCAGGTTTCCAATTCGGGAGTTCGTAAGAAACTTAGAATTTGAGGTGTTCACGTCCCAAAATCACCAAACAGTGTCGGATTAGCACGAAACTTGGCACACATGTCTGCCTTGGCAGGAGAGACTTATGAGAAGAGACGGCACTCGAATCGGGTTCTCGGTTTGGTTGTTAGAGCCAGATTTTGCTCTAGGCAAAGTAGTTCCTTAAGAAACTTAGAATTCGAGGTGTTGACACCTCAAAATCACCAAACGACATCGGATTAGCACGAAACTTGGCACACATGACCTGCTAGGCACGAGAGACTTGTGGGAAAAGACGACTCAAATTGGGTTCTCGGCTTGGGAATTAGAGCCGGATTTCGATCTAGGCAAACTATATCTTTAAGAAACTTAGAATTCGAGTGGTTGATGCCCCAAAATCACCAAACGGCGTCAGATTAGCACGAAATTTTGCACGCACGACTGCCTTGGCACGACAGATTTGTTGGAGAAGACGGGACTTGAATCGGGTTCCGGTTTTAGAGTTAGAGCCAGATTTTGGTCTAGGCAAACTAGTTCCTTAAGAAACTTAGAATTCGAGGTGTTGATGCCCTAAAATCACCAAACGACAGCGGATTAGCACGAAATTTGGCACACACGACCGCTTTGGCACGAGAGACTTGTGGGAGAAAACAAGACTCGAATCGGCTTCCCAGTTTGGGAGTTAGAGCTGGATTTTGATCTAGGCAAAATTATTTACTTAATTATCTTTGTAATTGTATGGTAGTTAAATTTTTGTGTTTTTGTAATTAACATATTAACACATAATTATATTGTCATTAATTATTTTTATTTTTTATTTTCAGATATTTCCCGAGTCGAAGTTTACTTATTGTGGAATGCATGCCTGTGAAGAATGCGACTAACTTTCGTTTTTATTACCCACGGAGAATGATGTGTAAAATTTTTGTTTTTGGTTTATGTTATTTTAAATTGCGAACAACATTATATATTTAAACATTATATATGTATTATGGAACATTATGTAGTGGGTTAATTTTGCTGATGTGTAGTTATGAATGCAATAATATTTTTATTATGGAAAAATTATTATTTCTATTCAAGAATTTTTATATTATTATGCAATTATTGATTTCTTTTTCAATTTTTTTTTCATTTAATACGTGTAATTTGAATATTTTTAATAATTTCATTGCAGGTTGTGTTTTTATTTATTTATTTTTTATTTATTTATTTATTTATTTTATTTTTGCGACGGCACACTGTCGTCAAAAAATTAGAACTAAAATGTTTTTTTTTTTTTTTTGGCGACATAGACAATGCCGTCGCAACAAAAAACATTTTGCGACAGCATTTTTCACCGTCTCAAATAAAACTTTTAGCGACGGCACAACATTGCCGTCGCAAAAAGTTTCAATTTTTTACATATTGTAGGCAATAGTAAAATGCTGTCGCAAAAGGCCACATTTGCCATTGCAAAAAAAAAAAAAGAAAAGACGACAGACGTTTTAGCAACACCCTCTGTTGTGATCCCCCCTTGCCGTCGCTAGAAGCCATTTGCCATCGCTAAAAGTTTTTTGAGACGGCATTAGAAGTATTAGCGAAGGCATTTTGCCGTTGCAAAAAACTAAAATTTTTGTAGTGTATTGAATTTTTAAGACAAAAGTATTCTTATCTGGTGATCTCGTTTGCACTTTACCTCTAAGATAATGGAGACAAAATGCAAATGAGATATGTAGAGTTAACACCTTAAAACTGGAATTAACGACTTTAATAAGTACAGAAACCGAAATTGAGCACATGAATATGCTACTGGGAATTTTTAGAACCATTTGGGAAGTTTATTTGAAAATTAATTCAGTTTGATTCGTTAAGGCATGTTTGGCAAGCATATTTCTAGCCATGTGTATATATAGGTAATACAAGCCCTTTTGAGATCATCTTCTCTCATTTGGTGAGTGGAAAAATCTGGAGAGTCACCCAAGGGAGAGAAAGAAAAGAAGAAGAGGAGAGAAAAGAGAAAAGAAGAGAAGAGCAATTTAAAGCTTGAAGAAGCTTGAAGACTCAAGAAATTGGAAGGGGAAATCAAGTATGTAGCTCAAAGTAAGTGAAAATCCACTAGACTTCTCTTAATCTTTCTTCAATTGGTTAGACTCAAGTCTTAAGATGAAGTTTTTACACCCATTGAAGTTAGGGTTTATGAGTGGTGATCTTATGTTTTGAGTTGTATTGACTTAGATTATGAGAAATTGCCTTTTGTTAATCTTAGTCTTGCATCTTTGCATGTTTTAGGCTCATGTGTGCGTATATATATATGAAGATATGTTTCTATAACTATGAAAAGATGAAGAAATGAAATAAATGAGTTATGATCTAATTGAGCTGTAGATTTATGTTTACTATGATCATATATTACATTTTGAAATGGAATTTGTTTGAATTGAACCTCGGAATTGAGTTTAGAAAGCTTGAATTTGTTGTATTTTCAGATTGCTCAGATAGAGCCCAGGACCGCACGTACGGAAAACAGGGGAAACAACTCTGGCATTCTAAAATAAAGGCATGTGCGAGCTGCATATGCGACATACCTCTCCACACGTGCGGTGGTGGTTTTCCGCACGTGCGGGAATTGGGAGCAATTCTGTTCACTTTTGTTATCTCTTTTTGACCCTTTGGAACTGTTAATGCGTTTATCTGATCCCTCTAAAATATTTGGAAGTTAATAAGACGTAAACAAATCAAACAAAAGATTAAAGAGATAAACTAAGGAAAGGATGCATTATTTATCCGTTTGTGTATGTGTGCTACGTGTAGGTCACTTGCAGAAAGAGACCACTGCTCGCCTAAACCACTGTGAGTAATAACAGTGTAACGATTTATATATTTATTTCTGTATTCCTGTTTATGGATTACGTACCTTAATTATACTTAGCCCATTCGAGATAAATTGTACTATGGTTATTACATTATGATTGTGAATGGCATATTCAGGATAAATGGTGCAATGATTTATGTATTTTTGCTTATGAGTGGCACACGTTAAATAAATTAAGTGAATGGAAACGATTGAGCAATGATATAAGCATGAGTAATGGCATAATAAAAGGACCTAAAGTTGTTATGCCTTGTCGTATATGTGTACTCTATTGGGCCCGAGGCCGTCTGGTATTATGTTGGGCCCGAGGTTATTTCGTACTCTATTGAGCCTAAGG